GAAGTATAAAACGTCATTAATATACATTAAAAATACATTTACTTACAGTAAATATGCCCCTGGGTGCATTTTTTTGGTCCTAGGACTGTTTTTTTTAAGAAGTACATACCCAAAGTTGAGTAAAAAAAACCTTTAAAAAGTGAATTTTGCATAATAGGTCCCCTTTAAAACATAAGGGAGCCTGACCATGGAGAGCTTTAAACGTAAGTACCAGGATTTTAAACTTAAAACGAAAAACCACTGGGAGCCACAACCTGCATGATTTCTGGTTGAAGCCCTGCCATAAATATAGGAAAATGACCAACGAACAAGAGAGCTAGCAATCCTCAACCACTGCTTAATTACCTCCATGAGTGAAAGGTTTGATTCAACGAATCATCTCCCTGAACTGTGTAGACATTCAGCTGTGAAATTTCAATGAAGAGCCTCAAAGAAGCAACATTACAATACGTAACTCATGTTGACTCTGAATGATGATCATTGACTGGGTTATTTTAGTGCTTTAGAATTAGATTCTGATAAGTGCACCAGTGCTTTAGAATTAAGGGACCTAACTACATAGATTAGTGCTTTAGGGCTAGTGCAACTAATTTTTAGATTAGCGTTGCCCACCACTGCCTGTAACTCATGTGCACAAACAAAGTAATTGACTTGTTTCTGAACGTTACCTTCATTTTTAAGCTGCTCTGCTCGTTCAGTGTCCTCAGGGGAAGGGGAAGTCTCTGGTATGGTGACGTTGTCATTCTATGAAAAAGCAAATCAGAAGATTTCAATTATCAGAAAATAAACTCAGACAAAGAACATCTTGACTTTGGTCTTGTTAAAGTCAGAGTGTAACAAATTCCAAGAAAACTACTGGTACATTAGATTAAGATGTTTCAATAAAATAAGTACCAGCAGACACACTTGCAGTATTATGAATCATTTGTGGTGATAATAATTTTGTGCTGATACACAAAAACATCTGATTTTATTTTATTTTATTTTCACTATTGTGTTCAAAGGGTTTACTCTGTACCTTGATGCCTATCTTTTCAGTAAAACATGCAAATTAAACAATATAATGGTGAAGCTCCATTGGTAATAGTGTGTTAGGAGTTTTGCTAATGGTACAACAAAAACTAAATAAAGAATTTGAATAAAACTGCAAGAACAAAGTTAATGAAGATCAACAGGAGTTTGGTTAAGCATATGAGAAATCCAGACCACTTTGGTGCTCTGTAACTCCATTATATTTCAAAGTAAGAACATCATTCAAATGTAGCATTTTCCTGCATATAAATCATTATTTCTGATTAGATTTCACTTGTTCCTATGACAACAGCTCAGAAAGTAAGAAAACCCCCACTTTGACTTCAGACTATTTCTAAAGACTTTTGCATAGAACTTCCTTTGTGGCTCGAATTAACATCTCTCACACAAACCCCCACCAGATGTCCTGACGCCCTACCATTAATAGATAAGAACTGCCACATTCCTGTTCCGAACCCCACAAGTTCTGTTGCTTCCATCCCCCAAAAGCACAAGACTGTTGGTTCCTCTTCAAAAGGACCATAAATGCCTTTAACCAGACTCTTCGGCGTGGCTGAGAACAAATGAATCTACATTCTTCATTAATTGTGAAAAAAGGAGAAAAGATAAAGGAATCTGTGTATCTAATGTTTTCTMTCTTATTGCAAAGAATGTCATCTAATCCATTTTTCTTACAGAAAAGAACTAAAAAGACCATAAAAGATCCACTAAGTTTTGCTTAGTTAACTATTCAATAGCTGTGTGTATTGTGTTTAATTG